TCTAGCGTTGTAAGTCCGCAAGACATACCGCTGTGCCGACTGGGGGGGGGGGCTGATAAAATAAGCTTCATCTATTCCATCTATACAGAAAAAATTCTGTATTACTTGAATTGTAATCTCAGTTATACTTTTCTACATGAAAAATTCACCCGATCCGAGATCTTTAGAAGGCATATTTTATGCCCAAATACTAAGGCTTAAGTCGTGTATTTTTTGTTGTTGTCAAACGTAGAACTCTCTTTAATTTACACAGGAAATACATACACTTTATGCTTGGCAGTAAGATGAACAAAACAATGACACGTTATCACCAAAGAGAATGGGTACAACTAGGAATAAGTTTGGTTCGGTTTGGATTAAGGGCAAAGTTACACGAGGGCTGTCTGCGATAATCGTCCCTAATTTAGCAGTGAAGGATTGGAGGGAAGGCAGTTAGTCATCACCACCCACCACCACCTCTTGGGCTACTCTTTTACCAAAGAATAGTGGGAGTAACCGTTACGTTATAACGCCCCCACGGCTGAAAGGGTGAGCATGTTTCGTGGGATGGGGATTCGAACCCACGACCTCCAGATTGCAAGTCTATCCACCTGGCCATACTAGGCCTCTAGGAATAGGAATGGTGTTCAAAACTTACAATAATGATGGTGGGTAATTCCATTTATGCAAAAATTACAACCTCACTCCATTTTTAAAATCTGCCCTGATATGTTTTTCTAGTGACGGCTTCGACTGAAAAGCCATAATAAAGGAAGTTCTTCGTGCATCTATTGTACCATAATCTCTGAAGGAATACAGGAAATCACTCCTTGTATCTCCACGAGAAAATCTGGACAACCTGTTGAAAAGGTTCAGTTTCAATTTTTTTATTTTTCCTCTTTTTATTAATAGGAACAGGAATCTAAATCTAAGCCATAGATCTAAAACAAAACAAAACAAGAGATCAAACAGAATTTAACGATTGATAGAAAATAGATAAACCCACTATCAACCAAGTTTCTTTGCCACCCTAACTTCCTTTATAAATAAATACTTCAGCATCTAATTTTACATCTAACAAACGGTAGACAACGCCACATTTCACATTTATCCAGAAGACTAGTGATTCCCTACACAAAAGAAGGAAAAACCTCCACCGTATACAGCAACCAACAACAAGAAGAAATCCAAAGCTCCAGACTTTTGTGATAGGTAATTACAATAAAATGTGGTTTCCTGAAGTTCCCAAAAACTGTATTTTAAACAACTTTTCCAAAGAATTATTTAACAAAACCATTAATGTAGTTAACCAAACCCGTAACCCGAAAACTAAACTCACACTCAACGAGATAAAATGCATCTACAGTCTGATAAAAGATACCAGGCCCGGCATGGCCAGGTGGTTAGGGCCATCGACTCGCAAGCTGAGGGTCGCGGGTTTGAATCCCCGTCCTACCAAATATGCTCTCCCTTTCAGCCGTGAGGGCGTTATAATGTGACAGTCAATCCCACTATTCGTTGATAAAAGAGTAGCCCAAGAGTTGGCGGTGGGTGGTGATGACTAGCTGCCTTCCCTCTAGTCTTACACTGCTAAATTAGGGACGGCTAGCGCAGATGGCCCTCGTGTAGCTTTGCGTGAAATTCAAAAAGAAACAAACAAAATATACCAATATTAAAATTTTAAAAGCTGACAAAGGCAAGACTACTTTAATCATGAACACCACAGAATACATCGACAAAATGAACAACATCCTTTCAGACAACAAGAAATTTAATTAAACCTATCCCAAACACCCAAACAACCGAACATGAAAAACAACTAAACAAAACCCTGTTACAAATGAAGAAAGACAACTTGATTACCGAAGATTTTGATTTTTATCTAAGGAAAACTGATTCACACACATCACAACTCTATGGCATTCCCAAACCACACAAACAAGGCTGCCCCATACGACATATACTATCCACTTATGACCTATTTAACTATGATCTTGGTAAATACATAACCTGGGCCCTCACACTTTACATAACCTTTGCAGGTTCCTTTTTAAAGATGTCTTTAACTTCAGAAACACATTAACTCCTTAATGGCTAGCAGCTTTGACGTTGTCACTTTTCACCGATGTTCTCGTCAAAGAAGCTTGTGATATTACAATTGACCTCTACTAATGACCCCAATCCTTTGATTCAAATCCCCAAATCCCTTTTTGTCTTCCTATTAGAATTCACAACAACAAAAAACAACTTCATTTTCAACAACAAAAACTTTCTTCAAACAGATGATTTAAGCATGGACAACCCTGTCTCCCCTGTTCTCTTCAACATATTAATGACCCAGATTGAAACACAAGCCATACAATTCGCACTTTTTCCTCTCCTATACTGGTACAGATATGTCGACGACACTTTTGCTGGTTTCACTTCTACCGAACTCATTCACACTTTTTGAACACATAAACTCCCTTCACTCCAACATTAAATTCACCATTGAACTCGAAATTAACAAACAGATATATTTTTTTAACCTGGACATTATTAGATCTGACACACAGTTCAAAACCAAAATTCACCGGAAAATCACTCACACAGGCCTCTGCCTCTCTTGGAATTCCGTCCAAGGAAACCAAACAAAAATCAATATATTAAAAAAACATTATAGCCACGGCTTCAAGACTTTGCTCAACTCACTATATAGATGAAGAACTCAACTTTATAAATCATTCATTCACACCAACAAATTTCCGTTAACTATTGTTGAAAAATTTACACACAACCATCAGAACAAAAACCTCAAAACTCAATTCAGAAAGAAAATTATCACAAATACACCAAACAACAACACGACACTACATTGCAGGTTACCATTTATCCCTGAAAACAGTTCAAAAATAATTAACACTTGCAATTAAACATAAAATTTCCGTTGACATCAAATTCACTCAAAAACCCCGCCCTAAGCTAAAATCATTATTAAATAAAAAGTACATAGAACTGCACAATACCAACGTAATTTATAAAATAAAATGCAATGACTGTCCAGAATTCTACATCGGAGAAACTGGAAGTAAATTTGAAACAAGATTCTCCAAATATAATAAAATACCTTCCCATGCTTACCACCATTGCAACAAAAGAAAAAACAAAAAACAGTATATCTGTACAAAACACTGTAATTTAAAATAAAGAACAAAATATCAATAATTGAACAAAATAGCCCCACCACAAACCAACACCCTGGGGTACCAAGATACCTATACAAGACTGTGAAGCAATCTCCGCAATGTGACCTCTTTGTTCCATACTGTATATATATATATATATACTCATGTGTTTCTGTAAACTACTTGTACCTGAAGATGACATAGTATTGTCAAAACGTCGAACATTTACGATAATTTTTTTTTCATTACACAGTTAAACCCTCTCCAAACTTGTATTTCACAAGTACTTCTCTGTATATCTTGTTGGTAGGCTGTGTCCTTTATAACCCGACAAGCTATCTCTGTACATCCTGATGGAAGGCTGTATCCTTTATACTCCTACAAGCTATCATCTCTACATCCTGTTGGAGGGTTGTATCCTTTATACTCCTACAAGCTATCTCTGTACATCCTGTTGGAAGGTTGTATCCTATATACTCCTACAAGCTATCTCTGTACATCCTGATGGAAGGTTGTATCCTTTATACTCCTACAAGCTATCTCTGTACATCCTGTTGGAAGGCTGTTTCCTTTATACTCCTACAAGCTATCTCTGTACATGCATTTGTGTAATTTCAACTGCAGCTTTACCTGCTCCAAAGACGTGCTACAAATATCTGTGGTGCTTCAATTGTAATCTCAAATTTCCTGGTAATAAGTCAAGTTATACTATTTTAATTTAGTGCAGCTTTATGAAATTCCTGTATATATAATAATGTTTAAGGTGATGTAATTGTTACTATTTCACTTGTGACGGATGTACATAACTTATACTGTCAAATCTGTATTGTGAAATTCCCGTTTATTCTCTAAAATTGTAGAAAATTCTCGAGTGTAAGAATCAACAATATATGTGTGTACGTTTATATTGTTATGCAAGCTGAAATTTCGAGAAACTCTCTTCATGCCTATAAATATAACCAACGCGACGCCCCAAAAGACAGTACAGTATATATTATTGGTTTTTCTACAGTTGGTATACTATAAACCTCGGAAGCTATAATTGTGATGAACGCTTATAAATTTCGAACATTACAAACCATTTGTCTTCAGTGGATTCACATCGGACATTAGTACTTTTACGAAGACATTATATAACTTCAGCGGTAAAAAACTCGACCTGTAATCGGCGTGTAATCAGCGAGTATCACAGACCTCAACTCAAAATTAATTCGCTCCTCGTGAACCCTCGATAAGATATCAAGGAAGTTCCAGACCAGAAAAAAAAGACTTATATTGTTTGTAAGTTTGTAAATCTTTGTACATAGGTCATTATTTGTAATAACCTTCATTGCAAATTGTATTGTTGTTTGTATATTAAAACATATTTGTATTAAAAAAGAAACTGTGTGTATCAATCCTGTTGGCAAATATCATAAATTGGATATATATCGGCATTTATTTAACTACTAAATCTAAATTACAATTTAACACAGTTTTAGTTTATTTGAAACTGTGATACGTTACGTAATAATTTGGAGACTCGTCCGGGGTAAACTGTAATACGTAACACACTATATATATATATATATATACATATATTTTCTTAACCAAAGAGATTCTATTATATTACTGATTTTGAAGGAATCTGAAAAATGAATATAGACCGAATAATAAGTGTTTCTGTTTACTAACACACGCACAAATAATAAGATTGAGTAAAAACTAAAAATAGTTTAATTAGTATAAATGTGTGATAATATTATATAACGCATAAAAGTATCATAATATGTTACTGATAAGTATGAATAATCAATACGCATAAAATCTCAAGCAACTTTTTCCAGATTTTAACTTGGGTAAATCGTACATCATTCTAAATATCAATGTTGTTGAGTATAACTATATTCCAGAGTAAAAGCTGTAATTGTGCATATTTGTCAGATAGATAAATGTTGTTACATTTATATGAAATTAACAATATTTTATTCTGTCTTTTGCTCAGGAATCATCATGTTCATGTGTTCATACAATGCAGTTAATACTTCTTCGCAAGTTAACACACGTGCGATTATTAATCAATACATCCATGAAATGTGCCTTAAAAATAAAATGTACCTAATACTTAACCAAATTTATTTGATCCCTAAAGTTTTATTGTTCATTTGTTATTATTGTAATCACTATTGAATGGTGACTACACAATACGTGAAGTCTATATGTCTAATATTTTCGGGTTTTAAGTACAATTTCATGGTATGATGAACCAAATACTGGAGTATTTAATTCCATAAAGAAAGTTTTAGGCATAAAACCCCCAAATAAACCCACTAACACATAAGAGGATAGCTGCGTTGGTATTACAAATCCACTTGTATTTTGGAACTTCCTTAATGTTCTCTATACCCTGCTCTGCGTCTTCTTTAGGTGACAGTTGGTGAAACTGTTCTTTCTGGGAACTGTTTGGATCTTGGTTTATACCACAGAATAGGTAAACTACTTTTTTCCACATAGGTAGTGCTACATCTGTAAGATCACAATGTTCACAAATGAAAATAAATAATTAGCACATCAAATACGAATTAATGAGACATATAATGTGTTTAAATGATACTGACGAATCGCTGATTGTAAATAACTTAAACATTTTTCTAGCCATGAATAACTGTAAGCTACTTCGTGATATTGAGAAAATAATTAATATCTGCTTCGATTTACTGTATTAGATAAAATGAACTGTTACATTATAACAACATGGACTGTTATATTTTAACAACATACGTCACCTATGTTTTATATGTGCGTTATTCTCTGACTACATAAATGATACATAGCTAAGAACTATTTTAGTTCACGATTAGCTGTTGAATCAAGCAACTTTAAGGAACAATTAAGTAGTGTCATCTAGTCAAAATCTATATCAGTTTTTTTTTTACTGTAAAAGCTTGAGCAGAGAAAATGTTATTTAGTATTTATTGTTTGTACAAATGGAAATGTTATGATGTAAAATATTTGTTAGTCCTTAATGATTTGTTTCAGAAGTTCGTCCAAACCTACACAAGAATTACCTGTACTAGGAAAGCAACACCCACCGATTCTAGAACAAACAAATAATGTCGGGATGCATTTTGTCAGTTTATGTTACTTAACAACCTAACAAGGTTAAAGAACAAATACGTGATGTAATGATATTAAAAGTTTTTGTATTCCATGATTGACTAAACAGCTGCACAATGTTAGATCACAAAAAACGTTTGTTAATCTATGGTTGTACTATAACAAAAGTGGTTGGTGAACAGATACATTAATATAACTGTCAATAATACATGTGAAAATAAATTCATGAAAGAAGGAATGGAGAGATAGTGAGGGAGTAATTATCCAATGAAAGAATATATAAGTGAAATTGTAAAGGAAAAGTAAAGGAATTAAATGTAAACAGAATACTTCTTAATCTGTGAATCGATATAAACATTTCATCATAAAGGCTTAGAACCAGTTCGTAACTAAGGGAATACAACTGGAAATAGCACATAAAATAATTCACGAGGGAATAATTTATTAGTATAAGAATATTATGTCTGTATAACACATACGGGAGTAATTCATTAGTGACGGATATGTGATATCACGCGAGTAAATACTCATCAGTAAGAGAAAATAAGGATAAATAGCACTCAAATAATTCAACTAACAGTTGAATATGAGTTCGTAATGGCAAATGGGTTTACTACTGGTATGTTTTATAGAATTGGGTAACTAATAAACTAACGCGATCGGTTAGAAACGTAATAAAATGACAACTGAATAATTTATAACTTTTAATTGCGTTGTTGATCGGGTACATTTATTATGTATTATTATCTGGAATTGAGAAAACATGTAATTTACTACCTGGCACAGATTTTTTCGAAGTGTGATGATAAGTTTTCACGGGTTCCATCTCAAGACAGTCTTTGTCAAAGCCAAGGTTTTCTTGGCCCTGTTCAGGTTCAGATGTCGACAGTGGTTTTGCTGTAAAATTGATTAATCTCTGAAATGCTGAAATAACCGTTTCAAACTTAAAATTAGCTTGATTCAGAAAATGTATTGAAGTTTTATATATATACTTATGATGTTGAATTAAATATAGACTGAATATGTATACTTTTGCACAAACATCTAATTATTTAAGTACTTACATTAAGTTTGTGGTAATCAATATGACTTTTTGCATTTGTTAGTAACTTATATGATAACCTAAGAGTAATTAGTAATTAGATACTGGTTCTTAATAGCTAGCTAGCTGATTCAAGTCCTATTCAGAGAGAGAAACACCTGTCGATTGGAAAGCACAGCAGCTTTTCTAACAAGAGCTGGATCCAAACACCTACCAATACCACAGACACAGTCTTTCTCGGGACTTCCCTGAAGACAGTAGTATATCAAAGCCCAAAAAGTAGGATATAAAATAATATGGATTTAGCATCTAGTAATAAAGGATTGGCTATTTAATAATTATGCTTAGGTGATTGTATATTTACTAACCATTTCAAAGGATTTATAATTTAAAAATTATTATATCGACATCTACTTATTTCTTCAAATAGACAGTTTTCTAATTCTCCCCGTTTTCAAATTCCTTACATTTGGTTATTTTACGGTCTTTTAAAACTATTCACTGTACAAAAGAGTATTCAGCCCATTGTATGCTACATTAAGAACTTTTAAAATGAATTTGTAAGAATACTCTATGAGGTTACAAGTAGTTTTAAGAAATGTAAAAATTTGTCATTTTTGGCTCAGTAACAAAACCAATATCGTTTTCATTATACGTAAATGATAATCTAGCATGAAGTTATCACTAGAACAGCGAATCAGCAAATATCCAAATTTGTAAACGAAGTATGCAAGAGACCCATCTTTTAAGGATGGATAGCATTACAAAGGACCCTGACATATCTGTGGATTCTCAAAACAGGATACGAGAAATTTGCACATAAGATACATGTATTTTTAAAAATTTCACTTATATGTAATTTTTCATAAACGTTTGAATACTCTCCTTTTTTTATTATTTGGTACCTATTGAAATTATACACAAAGCTACTCTCTAATATTCTCTATTCATTCTCTGAAATCTAAACTGGAATTAGTTTGGTGACGTTTCATACTGCAAACATAAATGGATATTTATTATCTTTATTTATTCTGTAATAATTCTTTGAGTAGGTCAACTGATTAGTTGTAACCACGGGATGTTAAAAGTTTGAATAAAAAACAACAACTACGAATCAACTTTTTAAGCTAAACCATTAACTGCAATAACGAACGGTAAAATAAACATCCAATGGAAGTTACGCAAACCGTAAGACGACAAATTCAGTCAAAACATTTAGTTACCTGATTGTATTTCAGAAGTTTCCTGTTTCTTCGTCTCAGAGGGCGCTTTTGCGTTATCTATATTCTCTCGTACGTGTGGGCTACTCCGCGTCCAGAATGTCAAGCGGTAAAGCTGTAATGAGATATGCAACTAACTAGATAACAAAGAGTAAGAAAAAGACCTTATTGAAAATGCTTTGTAGATAGTTCTAATTTACCACTTATAATATTCACACTACTATAATGTTTTGTGTTATTATACCCACATAGGTTTCTAGACCTTACTATTTTAATCCTTCTTCAACTCGTTTACTTACATATTTTAATATTTAACAAGGTAAGAAATGAATGGGTTTTTCTGCCAAAATCTTGTTCGAACACCTAACACAGTGTATTTAGCATTACACTAAATGATGGGGAAAGACGTTTTTACCCCATTAGTGGCAACATATTCAAATATAATTAAAATATACATGACATTATCTTATAGTTAGAATGAGCAAACGTGCTAAAATTAACATTTTATAATCTCCATATTTGCATTAATAATGACTGTTTGTACTTTTCAGTAACTAATTAGACATATTTCTACTTCTTTACTATGTAGAACCACAAGAGTAAAGATATAGTCAATTTTTTTTACTAGGTAGAACCACTAGGGTCAAAGATGTATTCATACTTTACATTTTTTTCACCTTATGTCTCAGGGTTTAGCCATTAGTCCACTTCTACATATAACTTATGTTAATTATATTTTTTTACATTAACTTAACCATTCAAATGCTACCAACTTTGCTGCCGTAAGTACTGGAAGCAAGACGAATATGTGTAGGACCAAATTTGGAAGTTTGTAAGTAGTGCGACGGCTGGCAGGTAGGAGGTGGGACTTGGGGGAGGGGAGGAAGCATACTCCTCATGAATTTAGGTGTAAGTTTTCGGCTCTTTGAATCTGATGGGGGGGCAGATATTATGAAAAGAAGAGAAAAATGTTTTTTTAGTTTTGTCTATCTATTTAACTATTTCATAATTTCGATGTATAATTCAGTCAGATTCATTTCGACCACTTAAACTATTATGTTGCATATACTGATTCTAAGTAAAGAGTATCTTATTTATTTTAATTCATTAATGTTGACAAAATTTACTAATTGAGACAAGTGCAATGATATGAATGTTATGTACCTTGTGAATTTATATAAGGTATAAATATCTCACATTAATCTTTATTTTTACCTAATTTCTCGACATATTTTAAGCCTGTCCCCATCCCTTTGATTAGCGGTAAGCTTGTATAGGCTTATAACGTTAAAAATCTGATTTCGATACTCGTGGTGGGCATAGCGTAGATAAGTCATTTGTGTAAGGTCTCTTTCTCTTTTCATATTGTTGTATGATATTTCATCTTCTCATCTAAATACATCTTATTGTTGCACTCTGTTCTTTTTTAGAACACAATACGTGAGAAAGGCAGAAGCCGGAACTTTGAGTGTTAATAAATGTTTTATTCTAGATTTTGTGATCGTGATTTGTATAATGATTTTTAAATTACGATCTTCACTTAAACATATTAGCTCTAATAATTAATTGCGCTTATGTAGAGTTTAAACGCCAGTTGTATCATTTATCAATTCTCATCTATTAACCATGTCTATAAATAGACAAATATGTTGAGACATTACATAGTTTCCTTATATTTTCTGTCTATGAAGTTCTCAGCTTTTGATAAGATTCTTAGTTTAAATGGTTGTCCTCTAGGCAATCTATGAAATTGCGTAAAATGGTTATCAGGGGCTTCCTTTAGTTTGACTTTTTATTGTCTTCAAAATGTTCTCAGAATCGTTCATGTAAAGTAACCATGTGGCTTAACACTATGTACATCATAGCTCGTACATGATATTTTCTATAAAACAATAGCATCAAATTTGGTGATGTTGCGAGTTTGTTAAGTTTTTAAAGAAGAACCAGTAAGCAGTTTTTAAATTTGTTCCAGGATTAGTCGCAGTTCTCTGATATACCCTAGAATCCGAGCAGTTACATTCTTATCTATGTACGGTATACTATAAATGGTACAATGTCATACGTTTTTGTTCGGAAACGTGTTTTTTAATCGTCAGTAGTATCACAAAACCGCAAAATATAGTTTAAAAGATTTAACAGAACTGAAACGGTATGGCCAGGTGGTTAGGGCGCTCGACTCGCAATCTGAGGGTCGCGGGTTCGAATCCCCGTCACACCAAACATGCTCGCCCTTTCAGCCGTGGGGGCGTTATTATGTGACGGTCAATCCCACTATTCTTTGGTAAAAGAGGAGTAGCCCAAGAATTGGCGGTGGATGGTGATGACTAGCTG